ATTCAGTCACCGGCCCAGTGCGCTTTGCTGGACACAACGATTAATCGCCTTCTTAATTTTGGCACGCACGCTTCTACCGCTGCAAAGCAGACCATGCCACGCCGCCATCAGCTGCGGCTGGTCGCACGGGCTGGTGCGTCCCATCACACCATGCAATCCTTTTCGATTGGATACGTTCATATTGTGTCACTGCATTGTGGCGAGGCAATTGTCCCATGCCTTGCCCCCACCTACCTCCATAATATGGAAGTACGGTATCGCGACGGTAGCAAAACATCCCTTGGCCTTAGCGCACCAAAGGAAGATACATCTTTCTACTTGCAAGCCAATCCAGCACCGCTGCGGAAGATACTCTGGATTCTTGCACTCACACAATACGAACGCTATATACGCCTCCATGATTACGAGGATTTGCGTTCCCTTATCTACTCGGAACCTATGCCGCCGTCCATGCATAATAAATTGGCGACATCAATCCTGCTTCCGAGAGATGCTGTTATTAATGGATTGCGCCGCGTATTTAATATTATTGGGATATTCCACAGCCACAATCGTGCTCCTCCTATTCAACATCTTATTTTCCCCTGGGACACTGTGAGTTGCAATAAAGTGGAATTTATCAGCCACGCTTTGCCGAAGGCGTCTCTGACGATGCCAAGCGCACGGCTCTTGATTCTATTTACTCCTCTCTGGGAGCGTATGATTTTGAATTATGGACAGACGTTTCTTCATCTCTCGCTGAGTTTGCATCTGGATCCGCTGCGCTATTGTATGGCTCCACCACGACAACCGATCTCCCTGTGGAGGTCCATCGTGCAGCAGCTGGCAGGCTCGCACGCTCATATAGAGCAGAGTGCCTTGCCACTGAAAATGGCATTAGACATCTCATACCTTTTTCTCTCGAAACATCCCAATCGCCCACACGAATCCTGGCGGCAACGGACTCCCTCTCGGCAACCACACCACACACATCATCACAACCACAAGCACCAGCAGCACTGCAGACCGTGGGTTAACGTGACCAATTGACGCATGCTGTACGTAAAAGAAAGCAATTAATGGCTTGACAGGGATAAGAAACACTGACAATATCGCACAACAAAAGAAAAAAAGAAAATAAAATAAAAAGTCATGCATCCACATTCTAAGCAAACCATCAATCCAAAAAAAAAAAAAACATAATGGGTCGACTCAACAACAACACAAATACAACAATTAAAAAAAACAAAAAGCCGAAGCGTGGGACGACCAGCGCACACACACTCTCATTGCTCCCGTAAAGCAAAACACACACACACAGGGAGAGAGAGAGAGGTCGCCCACTCAATGCAATAAAAACAAAACAGAAACAGTTACGGTGCTCCGCCCATGCAGCCAGGCAGGACGGCAGCGGTGCGTGTCGTGCAAAAGAGAGCACCAACGGGCCTGCATGGGTGTGCATGCATATATACAATGGGCACATTATTGTGTGTGCTTCGTGGGGTGAGGTGAGGGCGAGAGTCCATGCAAGGGGACACACACACAGAAAGAGAAGGACGAGTGTGTGCGGGCGGTGCACGGCTCTCTCTTCCCCCCACTCTCACGCGGCCACCACCGCAGCAGCAGCCGCACAAGCAACAGCAAGAAGAAGCAAAAGAGGGGAGGCGGTGTGGGAGATTGCGGTGCTGCCGTCACTGTCGCCAGTCGTCGCCGTTGTAGTTTTCATGGCTGCGGCCGTCACTGGTGTTTCTTTCGGATTGGCATCTTTATTTTCATTTTGTTTTCCCTCTCGTGTCCCTGCGGCATCAGCTGCTGGATCACCGTCTCCAGTTGTTGGTGTGCTGTTGGGATTTGTTATATTCGATGCTCCCTCCGCGCCGGAAGATAAACTCGGCTGCTCTCGACCGCCTGCTGACATCCCCTCTGTGGTGCCGGCACCAGCGTCTTCCTTCTTTTCCACCTCTTCTTCCTTCTGACCATTACGTTTTTCTTCTTGCTCTTCCTCGTCCTTATCTTCTTCTCGCCTTTCTTCTTCTCCTTCCCCTTCTCCTTGCTCAATCTCCTCTTCTTCCTCCCCTTTCGGTTCCTGCTCTTTACCCTTCTTTTCACCAACATCTTCAAATACTTGCGTTTTATCCTCCTTTTTCTTCTCTGCGTCTGCCGTTGATGATACTTGTGCCTCGGTTTTTATTGCATTCTCCGCTGCCACTCCGGTTGCGTCTTGCACCGATGATGATTTTTCTTTTAAGACCTTCGATTGATCGCTTCGACCACCTCCTCCAGCGGCACCTTTGGAATTTTTGTCGCTTTCAGAACCACTGACTTCACTGGACTTAGTACCCGGAGGAACTTGAGTTGGTTCCGCACGTCCACCACCGCCGGCACCGCACCACAGCACGCAGAGGGCACACACCAGCAGCACACGGCCAGTCATCGTCATCATCACGGCTGCACACACAATCTAGGGAGGGACAAAGAGAGGAGGATGAGAAGAACACACGCACATCAGCAGCATGGAAAAGGAGGAGTAGCGTTTGCATGAGGGCTGCTTTCATGAGCATGGGGGACGCGTGCACGCAGGAAGAACAGGCAACAATGAAACACCGAACAGCACGGCACACAGCTCCACGGCATGTAAAACCCACCCGCAGCTGCCCCAAAATAATGGAAGGGAAAGAGGGCACAACAGTACGGCAGGAACACAGTGATGCCGGTGCAGAAAAGGATCCCAAAACGGCGTGAAAAGGAAACAAAAAACAGTCTTCCCCCACAGCGGCCACATCCAACAACGCAAGTAATAATAACAGAAACAAACACCGCACACGGCAACTCACAGCGGCAGTGAGTTCCCTGTCGCCAATCTTCATGGCTGCACGCCACCGCACTCCTCGTGAGTCCATCGCTCCGCTGCCTTCCTCCTTCCCGCGGCTCCCCCGCACGAACAGCCACGGCACACAATCGGGTCCATCCGCACCCTTCGCCACGCCGCCCTCAACGACCCAACAGTCAACCGCCCAAAAACCGTTGCTGAAAACACACACCCGCAACAAAGCACGCGACGCAACATCGTCTCACGTGGACCCCGCCGTCAGAAGAACGTCATGTCAACCGTTTGGCCGGCACACGGCACAATCAATCAACAGAACGGAGAAGTAAGACAGGCACTCAATCAAGGACTCTCCACGCACACAGCCCTTTTGATGCCGCCACTGCTGCCACGGGCACGGCACCCGAGCGGAAAATGACACGCAGTAAAAAAGGCCTCGCAAGAGAGAAACAATCCACATGTCCATATGCAAAGCGCCACTCAGGCTGCTGCAGCTGCAGGGTCTGTGGGCAAAAATGCGCCTTACTGAATCCCGCCAGTTATGTCAGTCTCCCCTCCCACCAATGTAGCGCATAATGCACGGCGTGCGTCCACAGGCATCCACTCCCGGTGCCCTAGCAACACTTCAGAACACACATAATGGAGAAGGGAAGTATCATTACACAATGCCAAAGCAGGTAAATAAAAATAGGGAAATCAAAACCACACAGATCCCTCGCACACGCACACAAACACCCCACAGTATCCTCCAGAAGAAGTCAAACAATTTCTTATCCCAACCCATAATACAAGCGTGGTGCCGACACATCAGCAAACAACACAAAAGAGGGAGAGTGCATACAGCATGTCCCTGGTACAAAGTATACAGACAAGCAGAGCGTATGTATAAATACTGACAGGAACATGCCAGTTGATATAGGCCTTTCTCTCTTGCACCCACTGCTGAGTGTTGGCACCGCGACGGCAGCGGCAAGCAGAAGAATCAGCGGACAGGGACAAGCAGCAGCCGCACTGTTACTGCCGTGGATCGGAGGCGGGGCGTCCTTCATGTCTGCCTCCCAACCCCCAACCCCGCGCTTCATCCTTTCCCGGCGGAGGGTCCACGGCGCCCTGCGCATCATCAGCGGCATCAGGGTCCTTGGGTCCCGTGGCTGTGGCACCGCCACCGGCCTTGTCGCTGACGGCCTCATCTCCTAATGATTGTCCGACAACAGACGCCACACCATCGGCGGCCACATCGTCGATGTCCAGAAGATCGCTTTCCTTCTCCGCCTCCTGCGGCGCACCCGCGGTGTCGCTGGGCAAGAGCACTCCGTTGCCGTCGTGGCACCTGAGGCAACTTCCCTCTCCTCTGGCGACGGATGCTTCTGGGGAGCAGCCATGTCCACATCCTTCGGTGGTGTGCCACGGCCGGTCCCAATGCTTTCTGGATCGGGGACGGATGCCCGTAGCAAAGCTTGTTCAGTAGATGCCAGTGAAACCGTCCTGCTCCACACACCCTCTCTCCTCGCCACCCACAAAACTATTGGAAGGAGCCTGTCGCTGGTGGCGGATATCGTGCACACCTGCGCGTGTTCACGGCAAATAGCTTTTCCCTCGTCGTAGGGCGGAGCAACCCACGTAATCGTCGCCTCGGCCGTGCATGGGGCACAGCGGGCGTTACCCTCTTCAGTCACTCTCAGACGCACCCGCATGCCAAGGCACCGCAATGCCGCATGCATGACAACACCGAGATGTATGTTTCTTCCGGGTCCCTCGCATCCGTCGTGTTGGTGGGAGGCGTGTCCAGACACCACGAAGCGGGCTTGTCCCCAGGCACCGCAGACAAATATTCTCCCCTCCAAATAACAGCGGCAGCATTTCTCACATCCAGTGCGGGACCAATGACGGGGCAACGGTCCATCAGGCGTTTTGCTGACCCTTCATGGATACTCCCCAAACACCAACCGCGGGAATACCGATCCAACGTGCAGCGTCTGGCAGGAACTCCCGCTTTTCAGAACATCTGGGATATTCACTCATGTTCGGTGCGGAGCACTTCCTCTGCAGCAGCGCACAGCACGAATTCCTTCACCAGCGCATCGGCTCCGCCATCTCCCAGTTCACCCTCATGCAGCCCAGGTCAGCCGGTGCGGCCAGCGTCAGCTCCGTGCAGTAGACGGCACTCCCCATCGGTGCCATCCACTCATCCTTCGCGTGGCGCTTCGACCAGTGCGACTCCAGCGCCCTCCCGTCCCCACCGCCATCCTGCAGCTCCATGCCATCAATGTCGTCACGGTCGCGGGGCTCCCTCGCAGCCATCACGGCAGTCGTCGAGTGCACCACCACCGACAGCGCTCTGCCACGCACAGCACCATGTCAGCATTAGCTACACCAGTGGAACAATGCCCAGCACTCACCGTGAACCGACTGCAAACGCTGCCCGTGGCAAATGGGGGCACAATCAAAGGACCCTCCAGTGGCTGCACGAGCAGACAATCCGCATGCGGGTTGAAATCAGCAGGAACAACTTCATCCTCGAGAATGATCCCGTGCGCAAAGGATACAACGTCACCTTCACACTCGCAATTGCCATTCAATGAATTCATTGCGTAATACCGCTCTGAGATCCAATGCTTCCCGGTAGCATCCAGGTCCCTTGTGGATACTTTGATGCGGATGGGCATCCATCCCTCCATCCATCCCAATGACGGTGTATGGCTGCAGCGCACTAACTGCTCAAAAGGGTGCGTCCCTCACAACAACGCGGATCCAATTCGTGCTGTCGGCACGCATAACATATTCAACAAATCGTGGGTACGTCAAAGTGGCAGCAAAGCACCCGCTGGCAATCACACCATAAACACCATCACATGCAGTGGCGCCATCGCTTCAGTCTACTGTAAAGTGTAGAGCAAGTAAGCCATTGATGTGGGTGTTAGGCAAATATTTCGTGGCTCGCTGAAGCAACAAGGACCGATTGCGTGGGAAGAAACAAAGAACAGGAGAATACGAAAGAGAATATTCAGCCATCCGCACATTAAGAAGAAAACCAATCAATGAAAGTAAAATGGGTGCACCCAACCACAACAGAAGCAAAGATTCAAAACAAAAAGAAACAAAACAAAAAGCCGAAGCGTGGGACGACCAGCGGACACACACTCTCATTGCTCCCGTAAAGCAAAACACACACACAGGGAGAGAGAGAGAGGTCGCCCACTCAATGCAATAAAAAAAAACAGAAACAGTTACGGTGCTCCGCCCATGCAGCCAGGCAGGACGGCAGCGGTGCGTGTCGTGCAAAAGAGAGCACCAACGGGCCTGCATGGGTGTGCATGCATATATACAATGGGCACATTATTGTGTGTGCCTCGTGGGGTGAGGTGAGGGCGAGAGTCCATGCAAGGGGACACACACACAGAGAGAGAGAAGGAAGAGTGTGTGTGCGGGCGGTGCACGGCTCTCTCCCTCACTCTCACGCGGCCACCACCGCAGCAGCAGCCGCACACGCAACAACAACAAGAAGAAGCAAAAGAGGGGAGGCGGTGTGGGAGACCGCGGTGCTGCCGTCACTGTCGCCAGTCGTCGCCGTTGTATTTTTCATGGCTGTGGCTTCGACTGGTGTTTCTTTCGGATTGGCATCTTTATTTTCATTTTGTTTTCCCTCTGCTGTCCCTGCAACATCAGCTGCTGGGTCATCGTCTCCATTTGTTTGCGTGCTTTTGAGATTTGTTTGGTTCGCTGCTTCCTCCGCACCAGAAGATAAACTTGGCTGCTCTTCACCGCCTGCTGGCATCCCATTTGTGGCGTCGGCATCATCTTCTTTGATTTTCTCCTCTTCCCTCTCCTTATCTTGTTTCTCTTCTTTCGTCTCACTCTCTTCCTTCTTCGCATCATCTTCACCTTCATCTATTTCCTCCTCTTCATATTCCTCTTCCCCTTCTTCATTATCCTCCTCGCCATCTTCTCCCTTTTCTTGCATTTCTGATGCTTGTTTCTCCTGTTGTTGTGCCGCTGATGTGTCTGCTCCCGCTACCGCTACCATTATGTCTGTCACCGATTCTGCCGATAATTGTGACTTTGCCGTCGCACCGGAATTGACACCTCCCCCAGCGCCATTAGTGGTGTTTTTTGTACCGTCAAGATTATTGCCACCTTGAGACGCACCACCCGGAGGATCTTGAGGTGTTTCAGAACATCCACCACCGCCGGCACCGCACCACAGCACGCAGAGGGCACACACCAGCAGCACACGGCCAGTCATCATCATCGCCATCACTCCTGTCACTCGCGTGCAGCCTTCAGCACAAACTAACAACACGTCAACGCAAAGTGAAAGCAAAAGGAGACAGACAAGTCACAAAATAACACGCACCGTAAACAACGGCAGCAGCCCTGCAGAGGAACGCACACTGACCTGCACACCAGAAGTAAAAAAGCGATACCAAAACAAAAAAAGTAGTTGAGTGCCCAACGGGAGTCTCCTCCTCCAAAAAAAACACACTTCAGCAGAATCATCATTTCGTACGCCATGCAGCAAAGCAGGACTGTGTTTATATGTACATGCGTACAGTACCTGCACAAGGAAAAAATTATTACTGTTCTACAAGCCCACACAACATCCCACACATTTCATGCGGCATCCGGCCTGTCTCTCCACTCCTCCTTTTGTGTCGTCCGTGGAACGCACAGCCGTGGGGCCTGTACCGCGTGTGGGCAACAGAAGCAATCAAGAGGGAAAGCAATTCGCTCATGACGGTGCGCAGCAACTGACCATTAAGTAAAACAAAAGAAAAAGGCACTCCCATTGTTCCATGTAAACAATATTTAAAAGAACACCAAAAAAAGAAAGCCCGCAGGGAACGCGGCACATATTCTCCGTGAGAAGTCGCAACTCCACACTCCGTGGCTCAGAACACTGCCACAACCACACACAGTCCCAAAAGCAGAAGCAGCAGTGGTGTTTCCACACACGAGGTTATACGTTCGCCGCCGCTCACCGTCGGCAACAACATGTCACCTTCGAACTAGACGTCTCTACTCTCTTTATTTTTTTGTTTAAAGGAGATGTGGTCTGTGTGGCGCTGCTGCACGCACCGCTGATTGTGGGCTCCTTAGCGGCGGGGGCGTGTGCTCGAGGACCATGGATACAGTCCCATCGCCCGTACACATCGGTGGTATTGGACGTCATGATGTCATTATATTTTTTTTCTACTCTTATCAGCGCGTCTAGCTATACAATGCCATCTGGGTGCCGAAGAGGTGGTCGAGCAACGACAAAAGTTTCCTGCTATGAAGCAGCTGCCATTGAGAGAACTTTCCGAGACGAAGGTCCCGCTCAATGCCCAGCCGTTGACGCACAGCCAAGGTGCCTGGACATTCTAGAAGCAGATGGTGCAAGGTTTCCTGCGGGCCAATTGGCGTGCTTGTGGAAGCTGGCTGATCCTGCGGCAGCAGAGATCGCCTCCTGGCACTGCTGTTTCGATGTCGTGTGGCGTCTGGGTTGTGTGCGCAGCGACTTCTGTGCGGTGCGGTGCTTCTCCGTGTGGGGAAAACCATGTCACAGAAATCACATTTGAGCTCGGGAAGCGGTGGAGGATGCTCCGGACGAAATGACCGACAGTGACTGACGAGACCCGAGAATCCCGTCAATGTAGAATCACAGTGCGGACATTTCTCCTTCCGACGGCGTGTGAGGGTCCGCCTCCTTACTGGAGAGACGTCTTCATCCCTCGCCGACGGGGGAACAGTGTCCGTCCCCGGTGCAGTTGGATCGTTGTTAGAGCGCATATATGCAGACTGTTCCGGTGAGATGTTGCAGAAACGGCATTGGTTCGTGCAATCTCTCACAGTCCAGTATAGTCGGCCCCAGAGCTCAGATTCCCGCACCTTGCCCTTGCGAGGTGAACCAGTTCCTGACGGTGGAGAACTTCCTGAGTGATCAGGTCCTTACCGCTGAGATCGGATGGCCTTGTGCCGCAAAGCAAGTAGCGATGAGTGTCTTGACGAATGGTACCACGCCACTTGTTGGTGAGCTGGGTAGTGAAACATGTCAGCAGATCCGTATGCCATAAAGGTGCGATTCCTTGCTCCGTGTATTGTCCACTTGCCATAGTCTGCGTCGCATACTGATCTGCAAGCTCGTTAGCATGTACTCCACAATGTCCGTAACAAAACTGCAGGTGCACGGACCAGCCAGCACGCGTCAGTGTTAAGAGACGCAGCCAGATCTGATCCTCCGTCCAGTCTGTCTGACTGGGCGGGCCCTTGTTTAGAGCCGCTAGAAGAGACTGACTGTCCGTAACCACAAGCAGGGTTTTACGCCTGTGTCGGATACG